GCGCGCGTATGCGTGTGTGTGTTAACACTGCGCGCCCTCTTTGCTTCACACACCTATATATTTGGTGCATCGCCTTTTTTGTAAATAAAAAAAAAAGTCAAGTCTGCATGTGAGGCACCCTATCTCCCTCCCAGCTCCAGACAATCAGCGTTATTTAAACATGAAACAAACCCCTAATCCTCGGAGGGATATCCAGACGAATGCACTTCTAAATACAAATCATGCGCACACGTTTCCACAAGGATACTATAGGCTCCCTCCCCTCCCCCGTTCTGATCAATTAGTATTCTGAAGGCAGCACGTACCTTGATCGATGTGAACGGATCTAGAAATGAAGACGGGGTTCACAGTTGTCAGGTTTTGATGGGAGGCGGAATAAAAAAAATAAGAATAAAAAAAGAGCGTCACATTTCGGACTGAGCCGCGCTCGCTGTGTTTGCGCTTCGTCCTCTCTCCATCATGGATCTGTGGATCCGAACCACCCAGATGATTCCTCCTCCTGCTGCTGCTGCTGCTCCAGGTTTTCAGCTAGAGACAGAAACCAGGCGGTTCAGTCCGAGCCCGCGGTCCTCAGGAGCAAAAACACAAAGTCCAAACGAGAGAGAGAGAGAGAGACGAGTGAGGGTGTAAAGATTAAAATGCTTGTTTGGTAAGAAGAAGAAGCTAAATCCTTTGTTCAGCGGTGCGCATATTTGACTTTCAGTCGCCAGCAACGACGGAGCCGTCATGAACACGAATTAACGGGAGAAAACGCGTCGAAATCCCGCGGTGCGCGCAGACGGTGTCCCCCATAACAACCGGGTCCCCCCCACCTCCTCTCCGGTTTATTGTGCTGATTCTGACGCGCGCTGCTCCCAGCTGCAGCTCCCCGGACTGAACACCGAAAACTGCGCTCCGCAGAACGTGCGTAAAGATAATCCCTCTACGCACACGCACACACACACACACGCACYCACACACACACCGGCGCAGAAAATGACAAGCTCTCCAGAGCGTCAGCGCAGACTTCCCTCTGCTCTTCCTCACATTTCTTACTTTGATTCATGACTCGTTTCCAGCCAGGTGAACAGCAGCTTCTGACAGGMATGAAAGGTCTCCTCTGCTCAACACAAACTGTGAAATTAAACCAGAACAGGGCTGTCCTAAACTAGACCAGATGGTTTGAAACAATTGCGTTTTCCAGACTGATCAATACGCAGCGCTGAAATGCGGCTACACCCTCAATGTAAACAAACCACTTGGCTAAATGTGGCAAAACAGAAACTGGAGTCGTGATTGACTCACATGTGCGAGTAAACAAATAGCAGAAACGAACAAACGTCAGGTCCACAAGAAGAGTGTCGTTCAAAAGTGATTTATTTTCTCCTGGAAGGTCAGATAAACAAAGGCATCAAATGATTAACTCATTTAACTTTGCTTTAAGACAGTGTTAGATTGAGGCTCCTTGTGAATATTCCAAACCATTTGCAGTGTTATAATTTCAATGAAAGTACTAAAGTGTTGCCATGTTTTTGTTTTATTAAATTCAACAGGACCTCATTCAGATATCTCCAGTCTTGACTCAGCAGCAAACTGCTGTGATGCTTATTATTTCTCATTTRCATCACACGCTTGTTGCCTCAGCTGTTTCAGTCGATCTAACAGGGAGGCTGTCAGAGGTGGAGCCCCCGCAGCCCCCCCTCTGCTACATTTAGTTTTTTTTCCTGGCCAGTGTTAATACTTCAGCTAATTTCAGTAAAGACATTCAGTTATCAGCATATTTGCAGAAAATATTTTTAAGTCATATTTTGTCTTTATCTCTTTTTGGCACCATCCCAATTTAGCACATGTTTGATTTAGTCACCATCACACTTAGAAATGCATATTTTGTACGGAATTCGTCTTGTGTTGTTTTACTTTCCCTTCCACATAACTCCTACTCCTGCACAGGGCGACATATATTCTCTGTGCAGCGAAGGAGGCGGATCATATGGAGTGGCAGCTGAGGATGTGAGACTAATCTGACAGGTGCAGGCTGAGAGAGTGACAGCATGGGAAGAGGGGGTGGAGGAAGACCCCGTGGTGGTGGTGGTGGTGGGGGGTCACAGCTCGAAACAGGAGGATTCAGAGAGATTAATGGTTCTTTTACTTATCAGCGCACAGACCCTCGCAGTATATCACCAAGGCCACAGTTATCCTCATCGTTTTTATACGAGCCATGAGAGGTTTGAAAAGGAGGAAGGAAATCACTGTGCAATCACACACTCTTAAATCACACACACTTAATTACAGCAAATTGATTCCCAACATTATCAGGTCAGGATAATAAGGTAATTAAAAAAGTTATTACCATGCAGTTACTGGGAGCTCAGCCATTATTCGACTTTTTTTTATTTGTTTATTTTTGCACAATCCAGACTGGTCCACTTAGCACATTGTGATGTGGGTAAAGACCTAACAACCTAAGGAAACTAACAGTTTTCAAAATCCCAAACTTCTGGTAGAAGACATGAAAAGAAAAGAATAAAAGGAAAGAAATGAAATTGTTGAAGACAGTCACAATTTATTATTATTTTTAGATCAAGTAGAGGAAATAATATAGAATCGCTGTAATTTGTAGTTCTAAAAACAAACACCTGCATCAGATTAAATCTACTAATTAGTCTGCAGTTAGACTGCTCACAAGAGCTGTTGTGCTAAAGCAGATTGACGTGAAACAGGTCTCCAAAATGAGAGATGTCAGCTGAAACAAAGCCAGAATTATAAAATCTTTTCAAGAAAATAAATCATCATGGYTGGTGCAAAAGATGTTGGTTGTTTTTCCAGGTTAGCGGAGTCTAAAATCTAAACAAAATACTAACAAAATGGAAAAAMTGTCAAAGTGGAGCATACTGAGACCAAAGAAGACATTATAACATCAAAACAGAAAATAGAAAGCAAAATGTCTTAAAAACAGCAGCATTTACCAACACATATGACAAATCTATTTTTGCTAGTTTTATATTTTGATTCATGTACTGTATTARTAACAATAAAGACATCGGCTACAATATATTTTAGGTTTGAATTTTGGATGCTTCCTGTTATTCTCATATTCTGACTGTAATAGGAAATCCTAAACTAAGACTTCCTGTAGAACTRCAGCTCAGAATGTAACTGAATATATGAGAACCACCAACGCCTGCCAGAGTCTTTAAAAGGTGAAGAGGTATCTCTGGATGAATCTGAGCATGTGTGAGGCTCGATCACTGACTGTAGCTTTACTGACAGGCTGTAGAGCAGCCTTGGCTCAGCCGAGTCCTTTAACAAGAGAAGCAGATGCTCCAAACAGCACAGGTGGTGTCTGTACAAACTCATTAAAAAACTTGTGCTGTATATGTTGTGCTTTTCAAGTCTCATCATCTAAAACTCTAGCCTCCGGTGTYCTTTTGTTTCTMGTTTCCCATTCTTTCCTCTCCGGAGGTTGCCTCGTCTCGTCGAGGCCTCGCTCGGCTCCCAGACAACAGAAATGCACCTTCACAACAGGGTGGACGCCACCCGTGCCTGCACGCTGCATCTGTTTCCAGTAGCCAGCGTCCGAAAGAGATTCTGTGACCTCACAGGATGTATTAACTATGACAGGATGCAGGTGTCTGAAATTAGCAGGAAGAGAGTCTAATTTTAAGGATTCATTTCCAGAGGCACGTCCCTCTGTAAACAGGCTGAAATCTATCCAGAACAAAAGCGAGATAACTGGGCTGTCAGCCGATTCAAAACTTTTACAAGTTTGCGTCAAAAGAAGCAGACACAAGATGAGATGCAGGATTTAGAGTCCTGTACAAAAGACTTTTATATTTAGCCGCTAAGGAGACAGAATTCTTTTTAATCTTTTAAAATTGTCACGCTAAATAATTCGCTAAAAGGTCTTTCAAATATACTGTTTAAACTTTGGCAGCTCAGACCTTCACCATTTCCAGAGAAATGTCCTAAACTCAAGAGATGAACCAGTGTTGTGTCAACAGACACAATCCGAGAACCACCTGAAAGGTCAAATTAAAACAATCAAAAGTAGATTCATTTGACATGAAGGCGTGCAATTCTGGCACACAGATAAATTGATGTTATCGGATCTCTTCAAACATCACATCATTGATTTTATTGTGCATTTGTTTTTATTCAGTCAGCCTTGAAGACCCCACTGGCGGATAGTCAGGTTTCCCAATGGCCCAAATCAGGAGAGGGTCAGTGTTAGGGCAGTGAAATAAAAGCAGCTCCAGGATTTACCTTCATCCTCCATCATTCAGTCACCAGGTCCACATGTTAGATGTGATGTATTAACAGGACCCAGTTCTGGTCTGAGGTGAATAAACAATGCTGTGGTCGTACTCACATCTTCCTTAGTTCTTTGTTTGGTTTAAGTTACGTTCAAGAAAAACTGACAAAGCGTGAACAAGTCTCACAGCTTTAATGTCTAAATGCTGTTTTTAGATTCTATCTTAATCAGCTGATTCTTATGGTGTTTTCTTTTTCAGTTTTGAGGAAATTGATGTTATGATGCATTCTCTACATCCTACGCCTACATATTTTATGGTGTTCAGTATTGATTTGATTTGATTTAATTTATTTATTTAACAGGAAAATATCACTAAAAATCAAGCCTGACTCAGCATAATTGCTGTTTTACAGCAGGTTCCTGTTCTGCAGCATACAAAACACTCAGAATTACAGCATCACAATCACATCATTATACACCATACAAAGACAAACAAGCATACCAAATTTCAAAAAGGCAGCACTTGTAAAATAGGACGTCTAAATYTGAGCACAACAAAAAGTGTCCAGCAGYTGGCAGACAAGATTCTTCTTAAAGGGCTGTAGTTTTGAAATGGACTTTATGTTTTGAGGAATGTCATTCCATGCTTTAGTATAAACATAGAAGAAAGACCTCTGGCTGTAACAGTTTTTAAAAGTTGGTAATYTCAGTTGTCCTTTTGAAACAGATCTAGTTAATATATCTAACATGGCAGCCATGCAGACACACACTCGATTTTTCTGTGTTTTGGTATTCTTGCGTTACCTGCCTGGATCCTGCAGCTCCTTAGAAATTTATTCAAGTCTTTTGCTCCTTCCTTTTTCCTCCTGCCTCTCTCATTGTTGCTTTGGTTCCCTCCAACCTCCCATCCACCATTTCATGACATTTAGATAATCAGAGTGTTGAGATTGGACTGCCTCTAGAAGAGCCGCTGGTGCTAATTATCGTGTTTAGCATGCTAACACGCTTCACTCAGATCATGAGCATCATGAACTCTGCAGTGTAGCTGCTAAACATCAGCATGTTGAAATATTTAGTGAGCTATATTGTAAATGGACAAACGTAACACAGCAGTCTCACAGAGCTGAGTCACTCCTCTGATGTCTCCAGGGTCCCTTAAAAAACAAACAAAAAAAAAACTCTCACTAAAATTAAAATTTATAAGGCACAGTATGGGAACTCAACAAACGGTCCATGTTACTGTCAGTAGAGGCTGAAATACATTTTCTGCCACATCAAATTTGACCCTGGACGGCAGAGATGACCATTAAAAAATAATGAACGAAAAAAACAAAACACTCTGACTTTTGGTTTTCTGCATTTGTAAAGTTGTTTAGAAGACGTGTACCATGAAAATTTTTGTAATTTTAAAGATGTTGAACCTAATACCATGGGAAGGTCAGCAGGACGCTGGAGCGAACAGATACTATATACAAATGTCGTCAAACATGGAGAGGAATTAGACTGCGGCAGAGTTATATAAATATCTGCCGCTTGTCTCGTTCTTTTTCTTTCAGCCACTTCCCTCCAGCCTAAGCTGTAACCTCTTGAGGTCTTGTGTTACCTTCACCCTTCTGAGCAATTACCCAGCCAAGTAGAAGCTGCTCTGACTCCGTTGGTCAGAGTTAGCT